GATGTAAACTAATTTTGGGAAAACAGGAACACATTGTGGCTGCTGTAATCTTTCTATGTTCTAGAATATTAATTTTAAATTATGTAAATTGCTGTGTATCATTTCACATCAAAATGAAATAATGACATTAGAGTTCATAGACATTAGGGCTGGAAGGGACCTCGGAAGATCATTGAGTCCAGCCCCCCGCCCAAAGGGCAAGAAGTCAGCTGGGGTCATAGGATCCCAGCAAGATATAAGCATCCAATTTGCTCTTGATTGTGTTCAATGTAGGTACTTGAACCACCTCCGATGGCAGGCTGTTCCAGAACTTGGGGGCTCAGACTGTAAAGAAATTCTTCCTTATGTCCAGCCTGAAACGGTCTTGTAGTAGTTTATGACCGTTTGACCTCGTCAATTAAAAAAGTTACTTCTGGGTACAGTGTAAGGCATAAAGTATGATGGCTTTGGTTTGCTTCCATGATCTTTCACTTTATTAATACAACTACTAAGTTTATTAATAGTTATAGTTCTTATGCATTACGCTCCTTAAATATTCTCTGTTTCCTCATTCAAAAAAGATAGTGAATTGTATCGTATAGGGTATCTATGCTTTTAATTTGCTGGGTATGTACAGCACAAGAATTGTGTTTATTTAGATGCTAAAAATGATACATGTCACACATTTTTAACAGATATCTACATTGACTATTGCTGCTTCTTTCTGAAAAATACTGGAAACTAGTGAGCAATGCAAGATTTTAGAAACATTTTTGACCTGGACCAGGTCAATAACAAAAATCTCCTGTGTTTTTAAAAGCTAGCTTTAGAATTTTCTAGTTAACATTCTTCTTGTGTAACTTTTTCACACAAAACCGGCAACACTGCAGAGATTTTGGCTTTAAAGTATTGGCGGGAGTCAAAAGGAAATAAGATCTAGAAGTCAACACAAAAGATGAGCTGGGTTTTTGCATCCTGGGCATACATCGAGGGAGTGATCTTGGTCTCAAATAATGGTTGTTTGGTTTTAAAAAAATTTAAATAATCTCAAACATCACTTGGGGAGAAATACTAGAATAGTTTATTGCCACAGAATTATCTCATTGTATTTAACAGAAACTTCTTCAAAACTTCCTTGAAATACAATATACAATATAGGTCAAGGTATGTTGTCCCTGGAATGGATTTAGAAATGGACAGAAAAAAATAGCAGCAATGTACATAAACTTATGCCAGTGGCTAAAGGGGTTTTACACATAATGTTTAGATTTGAGAGAGGTTTTATTCAAGTTAATGGAGGTGTGGGTGTTTTTAATTGTATTTTTTTTAAAATTATAACTAAAACTAGTGGTGTTTAGCTTTTATTTTCCTATGATAGTTCCAGTCAGATTACAGCATTGTACTAGTGCAGAGGTTCCCAAACTTTTTCTTATTGCGTACTCCCTTCCAGGTTTACCAGCTGCCCATGTACCCCTACCAGCATACATTTTATATTTGAATCCCTTAAACGCCAATTATTATTATAATGAACTGTCATTACACTGTCATTATACGATGTCATTACACTGTCATTATGCATTAAATCTGTCATCACACAATTTTTCCCATGTACCCCCCAGAGCTGTCTTGCATACCCCAGAGCTACGCATACCACAGTTTGGGAACTATTGCATATGATAATGGGAATCGGCTATCAATAGCAGTGAGACTAAGTTACTTTTTTATTGCACAAACTAAATGGAGTGCAAAAGCATTAAGAGTAGAAAAGATGATAAAAAATGAGCTTTTTTCAAGTTATTTTAGTTTTGATAAATTTTAGTGGATACACAGCTTTGTTAGCCCTTTGTCAATTCTGTCTCCTTAGATGTGTACTCTATCCACTGAATGCAGAAGGGTTCTTGTGGAAAAATCACTGTGAAATCATTAGAACTATACTGGAACACACACTCAGAAAACACAATAATTAAGGCTGAAAAAGCAAATTCCAATCTGGCATTTCCTAAAGTTTGAGCATTTGACTTTTCAACCTATATAAGTTTCTATTAACAGAAGTGTTTTGTACTTGAATTCATATTTTCTATGGAAAAAGTAAAATGATCCACAAATATTACTAATATATCACTGTAATAGCCACCTTTCCCTTCCCTTCTAAAATGTATTCTAAAAGTTTTCTATCCTAAATTTTAATACCAGGGCACAGACTGTTACCACAAACAAACTTTAGTAGAGAGAAGTCTGTTTTCTGCTAGCTCTGATGTTATGGATTTCTGGTGGTGTATATGTGTGCGTGTGGGGGGGGAACTTTGTGTGTGCAAACATATATGTGAAAAGAAGCCTGGCCTGGCTTGTGTGCACACTACTCTCCCCCTTACACCACCTTAGGGGATCTAATGGATGGATTCTAGAAGAAGGGATGAGATGCTGTGAACATGAGCTGGACTCAAGAGACCATGTGTGAGAAGATAATCTGATCTGCTTGTTCCTGCCCTCTCCTTCCCCAACCACTCTTCTACACTTGCTTTGACAGGTTCCGGTTGCCAGTATTCATTTGGTAGCAGCACACACCCAGGTCTCTACAATGTTTGCAATAAGCAAATAGTCTGGCATGTTGCCAAAAGCTTCCTGAGAGAAACAGGTGAGGGGAGGGAAATGGTGATTATTAATGTTTTATAACTACACTCACTCCAAATGGACTTTTCATGGGACAAGAAAAAGACAAATTTAAATTATCAGCATTCACTCTATCAAAATTCAAAGGACCAGTGCAAACAGTTGAAGTATTAGAGCTTTAAGAAAAAAGAAACCATCCCCCCAAGAGTACCAATCCTGCCCAGAATGCCATGCAATAGAGACCTGTTGTGCATAGGCAGAATGTGAGTGCAATTAATACTTCTGATGTTCGTTACTAGCTAATTCATACTAGATTAAGTTAAAGATAGGAAAAGTGGGGTTTCTCTTTAGAAAAAGTTAATACATGAGAAAAACTATACATGCCTTTTAAGTTTCTAAATATTTTTTCAAACTCCTGTGACCAGAACAAGACAGGCACAGGATAGTGAAAAAAAGTTGAGGCATGTTTACTATGCTGTGCCCGGTTTGTTCTGAAAGCAGGTTAGACATGCACTGTATAGACTAAGATAGATGTAGATGCAGATGTAGCATGAGATCTTGTGGGCGGAAGCTTACTTCACCAGATGCTTGTTCTGATTACACCTGATGAAGAATGTTTTGCACTCAAAAGCTTGTCTATCTCTATCCCACTATACAGTTGGCCCAATAAAAGAGATCACTCTAAGAAATCCTCGCCTCACATAATTTCTGGACCATCCCGGCTACACCATTACTCTTACACAACCAAATTAATGCCTTGCATTTGAAAGCTTGTCTAAGTCTATCCCCTACAGTGCAATTCAGTCAATAAAAGATACTGCCCACAACAACCCTTGCTTTTTGCACAATCGAGGTCTGTCATGGCTACAACATCCTCTCAATGCTACCAAGTAGTCTTTGCCATTGTGCTTGTTTGTAATGGAGGGCAGATTTTGCCTGCAGCGCACCCTCAGGCTGCCCTTGGCTTCGTGCTTGGTTGGATCAGTGACTGAAGGGGGCAGTTTACCAGGGGTTTGGGGATTCTCCCTGTTACCTCTCAAAAGCCCCTTTGCGGGTGGCTTCTGTCTGATCTTTACAAGAAGGTTGTGTGTCCAGGCCTGCCGGTCGGTCCATAGGGGCTGTTGTAGCCGTGCACCGTGGTCTCGCTCTCACGGCTGCCGTGTCCATGCTCCGTGGGCTCCCTCAGCCAGTGGGCTCCATCTCCACCTGCTCAGCAAGTGCTGCCTTCTCCCCGCCTCAGGAAGGGCCTCTCCGTCCCCCTGTTAGGCAGGAGCAGGGCGCCCAGGTCACTCTGTCCTGCAGGCCTCCTTCCATTCATGCCAAGGGCCTTCCCTGGACTGGCTTCCCGACCCTGCCAGGGCACAGGGGCAGTCGTAAGTGCCCCCAGGGGGCTGGTCATCCTCCTCTGGACCCACCCTCCATTCATCTTTAGTGGTCTTTGCCCCCAGCTCCACCCCCCCAGCCCTTTGTGTGCATAAAAGGGGGTTGTGAAGGGTACACATGCTCCTTGCAGGGTGATGGGGGCACTATGAGGTCCCACAAAAGGGCTGCGTGGGGAGTATGTGTGTCCTGCTAAAAATATCTATCTAGAAGGACACTTGTGCTCCCCACAGGACCCCAGAGGCCCACCCAAGCAGCCCCTTCATGGACCCTTGTAGTGCTCCCATCATGCATAGGTATTTCATTTTAATCACGGAACAATGTGGATTTTAGGTTACTTTTTGCAATCCAAACATTGGGGATATTGTTTTTAATCAGAAAAAACCCAGGAGCCTTGTTTATTAGACAGGTACTGGTGGGGGGGCATCGCTTCTAACCCTTGGCCCAAGACGGCGTCTTCCCGTGGGAGGGGGGCAGGGCTTCGGGTGTCCCCAACCGCCGCCAAGGATAGGGGTCGCGTCACTACGCATCCGCTGCCCCGCTGCGGGTAGGAGAGGCGCGGAGACGACCGGTGGGAAAGGTCGCCCTCCCGTCCTTCACTGCTGGATGAGCTGGGGGCGGGGCCGCGCAGGGTTCGGGGGGCGGGGCCTGGTGCTGCCGGCAGGTAGCAGGGGGCGGGGCGCGCGGCTGAAGCC